GGTAAATTCTTGAAGGGAACTGAGACACGTAAGACAAGTGATCTCGACACTAGAGTGACATTTAGTGCAGAGATGCTCAAAAAAGCAGTCAGACTTCTGTCCAGTCTCAGCTTCCCAAGGAGCAGAGACCACAGGTACATGCCACCGCATGTGGCTCTTTCAGATAGGGTATCTCTATGTTTCCCAGGCCATCCTTGAACTCGGGATCCTTACGCCTAACTCTTCAGAATATCTGGACTATGGACACATGCCACCATGCCTAGCTCTTCGGGGTGGGTCAGGAGTCAAACCCAAGCCTCCCATGTGGCTTCAGCCTGCTAAGCAGCAGCATACAGTGTGTGCTACCATGGCTGCACTGCAATGCCTCCTCTTTGCAACAGTTGCTTGGCATTCTTTTGTATGGATGACCACAGCTATCTTGGAGCAGAACACGGTCTTTCACCATTGGGCCAAGTTATATTTCAGTTGTCTGTTTGGGTCTGTGCTTTCGACCTAACTAGAGAAAACGGGCTGCATTTTATTCTTGGTTGTATCTCTACTATTTAACCCTGTCCTTGGTGTGTTGTAAAAGTAACAGGCTGAATCCCAGTTCCACAGGGTCCTCCTACAAGGGCCTGGCCTCAGACTTCCCCCCAGGGGGATCACCAACACAATACGGTTCTCCCAGCCCTTAATCTTTGCCTTCCTCTGGTTCGCAGGTAGGGTAACCTTTCCAGAGGCAGTTCACAACCCACTTCTCTCCTGGATTGTGCAGGTCCGCATGGAAATTTGGTCTCAGGAGACCCCTCCAATAGGGACCACAGCCCTATCCCATGGCCCTGAGTCAGCTTTTTCCAAAACTCCCCCTTTAGGGAACTACTGCTGTGTCATATCCTCTTGAGGGCTGTGTCCTGCTTCTCCCTGCATAGTTTTCCAGAAGGAGGTGGCAGTTCATTTTCCTCCTGAATTCAAGTCCCGAGCACAGCTAAACCCCTGGGAAACATTCACTGAAGCTTCCTAGGCCTTTGTCAGCATGAATATTTTACACTTTCTGCAGTAACCTGGGTTTCTAAAGCAAGGGAAAAAGTTGTGCCACTCTGCTACACTCTGGCAAGGAGTTTGGGAGTGTGCAGATTGGGGGGGTGGGGGGGGTGGAGGGGACTTATCTCTCCCAATCCAGCACAGAAACTAGGTCCCTTACCTGTGCATCCAACTTTCCCCAAACAACATGAGTGGGCAGCTATCAACAGGACAGCAGTATTTCCTCAGGGTGCTCCAAAATGTCACCTTAAAATTTTGCTTTGTCATTTTAGTCTCTGCTCCTGCTTCAGTCTCCAACAATGCCTAATGAGGGCCCCACACCTGAGACCCTCTCATCCAGCCTCCATATGAGGGAAGGAGAAATGAGACTCTGGGTGATGAAGGGACTGCCCAAGTCACACACTGGGTAGCAGGTGGGAATATCTGTTTAGGTATCCTGATTCCCAGTAGGAGGCTTTGTCCATTCCACTGACCTCAACCAGAAACTTTGTATCATCCTGCCACTGCTATCAGCTTTCTCGTTCTCCCCTAAACACAAGATGATGGGGATAGTTAAAACCTTTTTTAATAAAAAAAAAAAAAAAAAAAGAATTATTAAACTTTATTTATTTATTTTTATTTTTCAGTTTGACCAGAGAGAGAGAAAGGAAGAATGAGAAAGCAAGTCACCAGGTTCAGGACTCGAACCATGGTTGGCCCATGTGGGAGTCCAGCACCTTAACCTGCTGGCCTCAAGGGAACAGTTTGAACTTTATAAAACAAGACCAGCAGGTGGTACAGTGGCTAAGGCACTAGGCTCCCACCAACCACAGTTCAAGTCCCAGACCTGGTGGCTTGAAAATCATGCCGGGCACATGTACCTGTGTGCCCAAAATCACAGAAGGAGAATGGAAGAGAAGAGACTGTGACATGGCCATTTCCTTTGGGGGGTGATTCGCACTTTCTTCTCTCTTTCTCTGGCGAACGCACACCCTATGGCAAAAATATGAAAACTTTACAAAATGCCCTGAATGCCAGGTCTTATTTGAAATGCTTTTCATATGCTCATTTGTTTTGTTGTTGTTGTTTTGGACAGGATCTCTCTCTGTTTCAGTCCTCCTGTCTCAGTCTCCTAAGAAGCTAGGACTATAGGTGTGTGCCGCTGTCCCCAGCTTTTCATTTATTTTGAAATGCTACAGCACTATGAAGTAAATTCAGTGTTTTGCAGATGAGAAAACTGAGGCCTAGAGAAGGTAACTAATTTTCCAAGTTCGCGCAGTAAGTGACAGAGCGAAGGTTCAAGCTTAGGCAATCTGGCTCCAAAGTCCTCATTCTTAATTTTTTGTATCACCCTGCCTCTCAAAATTATCACCTGTATTAGGTCTTTGTCCTAACAACTTATAGGCAATATCTTATTTAATCTTTATCAGAGTTCTAGGAAGAAGAAAATACTCTTATTTACCCCATTTTATAGCTAAGGACTAGAACTTAGGCTAGGTAAACTGGTGACAGTCACTCAGCTGGTGAGTGATGGAATCAGGACTCAACCCAGATCTGGTGACTGCAAGACTGGATCTTACCCTACCTGCATTAGGATTTTCCAGAGAAATAGAGCCAACAGGCTACATAAATACATGTAAGAGGAGATTCATCATGGGAACTGGCTCCCGTGATCGTGGAGGCATGTAAGTCCCCCAGCATTTTGTCTGTGAGCTATAGAACCAGAGTAGCTGATATAATTCAGTTCAAGACTGAAGGCCTTTTTTTTTTTTTTTTTTTTTGAGAGGTTTTTCACTATAGGGCACGTGCGCTCGCCAGCCAGCCAGAGAGAGACATAGAGACAGAAAGCGAGAAATCACCCCCCAGGGGGGATGGCCACGCCGCAATCCCTTCTCCTCCATTCTCCTCTGGCGATCTTGGGCACGCACGCACACGCACTCGGTGTGAGTTCTAAGCCACCGGGTCTGGGACGCAAACAGCGGTCAACCACGTGGGAGTCCAGCGACATAGCCATTACTCCAACTGCTGGTTCCAAGCCTGAAAACTGGAGTTGGGGTACCCTAGTATAAGTCCCAGGAACTGGGGCTCTGACTTCCAAAGGCAGGAGACAATGGAGTTCCAGCTCTAGAAGAGTTATGTCTCCTTTCTCTTACCTTTTTGTTCTGTTCCGGTCCTCTGTGAATTGGATGATACCCACCCTCATTGGTGACAGCAGATTTTCTTTACTCAGATGTTAATATTTTCCAGATACACTCTCACAGACACATCAGATAATGTTGTTGTCTTTTTTCTAGAATTATTTATTTTATTAATTTCTTCTTATTCTTATTTTTTTTTTACATAAGTTTTCCAGAGAAAGACGAGAAAGAGAAAGCCAGCAGGTCCAGGATTCAAACCGCAGTTGGCCATGTGAGAAGTCCAACGCCTCAACCACCATGCCACCTGCTGGCTCCATCAGATAGTGTTTTAACAGCTATCTGGGCTTCCTTTAGCCCAATCAAGTTGACACATAAAATTTACCATCACACAGCCTCATGGAAGATGCTCCAAAAAAGGAGATTGGGACTACAAGACATCGTAATGGTTATATTGCTAGACTCCCACATAGCTGACCACAATTCCAGTCCTGGACTTGGCAGCTTAAACTCACACTGGGCGCATGTGTGCGTGTGCTCAAAATCCTGAGAGGAGAATGGAGGAGAAGGGATTGGGGTATGACGATCCCCTGGGGGATGATTTCTCACTTCCTGTCTTTCTGTCTCTCTGGCAAGCGCATGCACCTTATAGCCAAAAAGCTCTCTTAAAAAAAATAGGGAATGAATACATGAATTGAAAATGGCTGTGTGTTAATCTACTTGGTCTGCTATAACAAAATATCATAAAATATAAAACAGAAATATTTTCTCAGTGTTGGAAGCTAAGCAGTCCAAGATGAAGGTTACTGGTAAGGGCTCTCTTCCTAGCTTGCAGATGGCTACTTTCTTGCTGTGTTCTCACACAAGAGAGAGACAGAGAGTTGTACAGTCTCTTCCTCTTCCTTTAAGGACATTAGTCCTATCAAATAAAGTCATACCCTTATGACCTCATTAATCTTTTAAAATATTTATTTATTTCCATTTGTTATTATTATTATTATTCATTTTACCAGAGAGAGAGAGAGAGAAAGGGAAAGCAAGAAAGCAAGCTGCCAGGTCTAGGACTTGAACCATACAGTCATGAGGGAGTACAGCACCTCAACCACAACACTGCTGGCCCCAACCTAATTAATGTTTTTTTTTTTTTTCTTGGAGAGGTTTTTGCCATAGGGTACGTGCGCTCTCCAGAAAGATAGAGAGAGAGAGAGATAGAAAGTGAGAAATCACCCCCCGGGGGGATAACCATGCTGCAATCCCTTCTCCTCCATTCTCCTCTAGGGATCTTGGGCACGCATGTACACGCATCCGGCATGAGTTTTAAGCCACCAGGTCCAAGATGCGAACTGCGGTCAACTACATGGGAGTCCAGCGACATAGCCATTACACTAACTGCTGGTTCCCCGACCTAATTAATCTTAACTACCCTAACCTAGGCCTTATTTCCAAATATAGTTACATTGTAGGTTAGGGCTCATTTTACAAATTTAGGGGAACACAGTTCAGTCTACAGCAGGCCTCTTTCCTTCCCCTCCTGCAAAGACAATAATAATGATAATAAAACAAGAGAAATCAGATAAACCTATTGGCACTGAGAGCGGTTGTTGTGTCTTTCCCTGGGATGGTCATTGAAAATCACCAAAGTGGAGAAAACCACTGTCTGTTTCTTTTTAAAAAATAATTATTCTATTGAACTTTATTTTATTTATTCATTTTTTAAATTTGACCAGAGAGGGACAGAGTGAGAGGGAGAGTGAGAAAGCAAGCTGCTGGTCTGGTACTCTAACCACAGCCAGGCATGTGGGAGTCCAGTGCTCTTAACCACCACACCACCTGCCGGCCCCACCACTGTTCTGTTTCTATGGGGCTTGATGATACTGCAGTTTCTGGACACAGTGAGGCCTTGGCAGTAGCCAACAGGCTCTTGCATTGGAGAAAACATGGAAGGGAGGTGGCTTGCCACAGAAAATGGAATAATCATTGCCTAATAATGTCCAGGTGATTATGCTATTAATCCCCCCCCCTCACCTGTACACTTTCAACATCCACAAATCTGTCCACAGCTCTACTTTTTCAGGTGGTTGGGCATATCTCAGAACTGAGACGGTTGCCTGCCAAAATCCTGTGAGTATCCTGCTGGAATCCATCGGCTTTGCTCTGTACTCCAAGAAGATGCTGCACAGAGGTTGAGGGAGGGGAGCTATGAAAGTAGGAATATTGCTAAAACTACAGTTATTAGTATGGAATCATAATTTCCTTTGTATTTTTACCTAAATTATATATGGATCCTTCAAGGAGGGAAAATTGGCCACAAAAGGCAGTCAAAAACATTTGCACAATGATCAACTTTTTTTTTTTTTAATTTGCCAGAGGACACATGTACTCACTGGAGCGAGACAGAGAAGCAGAGAGGGAGAGAGAAAGTGAGAAGGCACCTCCCATGTAGCATGGTCATGCCACAATCCCTTCTCCACCACTTCTTTCTTTCAGGATTCTGGGCACGCACACACGCATGCCTGGTGTACTTTTCAAGCTACACGATCCAGGACTCAAAACATGGCCATGTGGCATCCCTCCACCTTAACCACCAGGCAGGCCTGCTCTAACCAACTTTTCAAAAGCACATCATTTTTGGTAAAAAATAACTTTACCCTTTTTTTTTTTTTTTTTTTTTTTGAGAGAGAGAGATATAAAAAGACAGGGAGGGCACCCCCAGCAAGGGATTCATGACAAGAGCCACCTCAGTCTCCACTGACTGGATCATGCTCATGTATATTCATGTTCCTGGCGTGCTCAGAAGAAAGCACCTCCAGGGGACAGCAGGTGGTGGTTAAGGGCACTGGACTCCCACATGGCTGACGACGGTTCGAGTCCCGGACCTGGCAGCTTGCTTTCTCACTTTCTCTTTCTCTCTCTCTGTCCCTCTCTGGTTAAATTTAAAATAGACAAATAAACAAAGTTTGACAAAAGAAGAAGAAAGCACCTCCCATAGGGCATGGTTCTCCCTGGACTATGAATCCAGGGCCTTTTCCCTGTGGGTGCAGTTGCATTACTGCTGCGCCACTGCTTGGCCCAGCACATATCTTTTAAACGGCAATTCCCAGTCAGCAGGTGGTACAGAGGTTAAGGTGACCGGATACCACATGGCCGACTATGTGATTTACGTCCTGGACCCAGCAGCTTGAAAATCATGCCAGGCCAAAATCCGAGGGGAGAATGGAGGAGAGAAGGGATTGTGGCATGCTCATCCCCCCCGGGGTGATTTTTCACTCACCCTTCCCCATTAAGTAAATACATGTACCCTATAGTAGAAACAAAAACAAACAAACAAACAAACAAAAGAAATAAATAAAGAAAAGAAAAGTAATTTCTTTTTTTTTTTTTGGAGAGGTTTTCGCTATAGGGCATGTGTGCTTGCCAGAAAGGCAGAGAGACAGAGAGACAGAGAGATAAAAAGCGAGAAATCACCCCCCCACGGGGGATGGCCAGGCCACAATCCCTTCTCCTCCATTCTCCTCTCGGGATCTTGAGCACGCACGCACACGCACCCAGCATGAGTTTAAGCCACCAGGTCCGGGACTCAAACCGCGGTCGACCACGTGGGAGTCCAGCGACATAGCCATTACACTACTGACTGCTGGTCCCAAGAAAAGTAATTTCTGAAAAAAATACTAATCATTTTGAACATTTCACTACAGAGAAGCTGGGTTTTGCTGGAATAACTTGCAGGTCTAGAGGAAAACAACGATGGATGGAGCCATGAACAGAATGGATGCTCTTTGCCTTAATTCTTAAAGCAGAGGACAATTCCCAGACAATCAGAGCTAGTTTCCTGACTCACTGGGGAAGCTTTTATCGTTCAGGAACCTACAGGTGAATCACAACTGATGACTTGAAAGAGTGGGAGTACAACTGGGCAAGAGAACAGGAGCTCGAGTCCAAAAGAGGCTGCAAACAAGAATTCAACACCTTCACTGAACCAGGAAGAACGAAGGGAGAAAGAATGGAAAATGAGCCAGGCAGTGGATCTGGAGGCCCTCAGGAATTCTGAGCATTGTCCTGAAGTAGAACCTCAGGCCCATCTCTCCAGCTTCCTCTCCCACCACTGAATTTTAAGCTTCAATAACGCTCAAGGATTTATAATTCTGGCCCACATCAAGCTGTGCCCTGCTTCTGTGTCTTTGCTCAAGCTGTTCCCATTGCCTGAAATGCCTTCCCTCTCCCACTTCTCTTCAGTTGGCTGGCTCCCATCTACCCCACAAAACACAGAACAGGTGGCCCTCCCCCAGGAAACCTTTCCAGACAACCAGCCCCATTATCCAAGCACAGCTCTCTGAACAAATGGCTCACCTTGCGTTAAGGTTGTCTATGGATGGGTCTGTCTTCCCTTAGGGCTCAGTGCTCAAGAAGACCATAGTGTTTTCATCTTGGTATCGGGGCCTATGGTACATATTAGGTAGTCAGTGTAAGTGGGATGAATAAATGTTGAGGCGGGAGGGGGAACAATTTGGACAAAAACATTGTGACAGGACCTATTTTGCCAGGAAGAAACGCAGCAAGGCTAAAAGTTAAAATTCTGGCCCAGGGTCAGTCAGGTCTGGTATACTTGCTGTGGTTGCTCTTCTAAATGGGAAGACAAGTAATAATAGTAATTTACAAAATTTTTTTATCTCCTATGTCCACTAGCAGGAGAGAACCTATACAGCTGGAAGGGACCTTCAAGCTGATTTTACTCAGGCTGTGTTATTATTATTATTTTGTTTGTTTGTTTTTTGGAGAGGTTTTTGCTATAGGGTGCGTGCGCTCGCCAGACAGACAAAGAGAGACATAGAGACAAAGAGAGACATAGAGACAGAAAGCGAGAAATCACCCCCCAGGGGCGATGGTCACGCCACAATCCCTTCTCCTCCATTCTCCTCTCGGGATCTTGGGCACGCACGCACACGCGCCCGGTGTGAGTTTTAAGCCACCGGGTCCAGGACACGAACCGCGGTCAACTCCGTGGGAGTCCAGCGACATAGCCGTTATGCTAACTGCTGGTTCCCAGGCTGTGTTATTTAAGAAATGGGGAAGGGACTGGTCCTGTGGCCTAGTGGTTGATAGAGCCAGATCCCACTATGGCTGACCAAGTGTTTGAGTCCTGACGCCAGGTACTTGAAAACCAAACCAGACATGTGCCCCAAATCCCTACAGGATGAGGAGGTGGAGGATAAGGGATTGTCTTGTGAGCACACCCCATTGGCGGGTGCTTTCTGTTTCTCTCTGTCTCTGGTGAGCACATACACACTTTGACAACTTTTTTTTTTTTTTTTTAAATGGGGAAGGTGAGACTCTGGTGGTTAAGGAACTTGATTTGGTCCACTAACAAATCAGTGCCAATGCTGGGAATAAATCCCACCTCCCAATCCCCGTCTTTCACTGCAACCCTGGGTTGTCAATTGTACAACTGCATGTAGCACAAATGAAGATGAGTGGAGTACCTGTTACTTGAAGACAAGAGGCATCCAACCCATGAATGAGCATGAGCCAGAGAAGCTGCAGTGCAAAAGCAAACTCCCGTCAGACAGGTGGGAGGAATCACAGCCAAGGGAGTTGCCATGTCTTGGGAGCTGTGGGAAGGCAGCAAATGAGAGAGATCAGCACCATCTACTAGAAATATAATCAATGCCAGTCACATGTCATTTAAAATTTTCTGGTTGAGACTTTTTTTTGGATAGGTTTTCGCTATAGGGCGCGTGTGCTCACCAGACAGACAGAGAGAGACATAGAGACAGAAAGCGAGAAGTCACCCCCCAAGGGGGATGGTCACACCGCATTCTCTTCTCCTCTATTCTCCTCTCAGGATCTTGGGCATGCACACACATGCGCCCGGCGTGAGTTTTAAGCTACCGGGTCCGGGATGTGAACCGCAGTCGACTACATGGGAGTCCAGCGACATAGCCATTACACTAACTGCTGGTTCCCTATTTGGGACATTTTTAAAAGTAAGAAAAAATAGGGACCAGCAAATGGCGTAATGCTTACGTCGCTGGACTCCCATATAATCAACTGCAGTTCGAGGCCTGTACCCAGCAGCTTAAAACATGCCGAGCACATGTGCATGTGTGCCCAAGATCCTGTGAGGACATTGGAGGAGAAGGGATTGCAGCATGTCCATCCCCCCTGGAGGGTGATTTCTCACTTTCTGTCTGTCTTTGTCTTTCCAGTGAGCACACAAATCCTAGTAAAAATCTCTCTCTGAAAAAAATAAATAAAAATAAAAGTAGGAAGAAGTACAGTAAGATTCCCCTTGCTGGTTTCTAAAGGTTATTGGTAAATATACTTTAGAAGAGAATGATCCTGTTGTGTCTAAGTTGGTGAAATAAAGACCTGTCTCCAAGGACTCTCATTCAGAGACGAGAGACTTGGAGTCAACCAATTCTTCCAGTTTAAATCATAGGTTCATTTCTATTGCATCACTCTTTATTGAATCATTGCCATGAACGAGATTTTTGCCAAATGATGCCTGGCTTAGATTCTGTTATACTGGCCTTCCCAAGCATACTCACCCTGTCTACACCATGTTCAGTTGCTCTAAGAACAGGGCCACAACCAATCCTGAGTTCACATACTTGACCAGCTCCAGGAAAAATGGACAGTCTTTCAGGGTAGTTAGTGCTGCTTCAAGTTGTCCTCAGAGATGTGAACTTCACAGTCACAAGAAAGAATCTTTTTGTTCAGAGTAGCTGATGATCTTTCCCACCATGCTGTGCTGACCACTACTGGACTGATGGTGATAAAGCTGTTCTCAGTGGTGGCTACGGTCTAAGAACCTGGCAGGGCCCAGTGGTGCCAGAGCTGAGACCTAGAGCTGGGATATTATTATTATTAATGTTATTTTGCTATAAGGCATGTGTGCTTGCTGGAGATAGAGAGGAAAAGTAAGAATGCACACCCATGGAGGATGATCATGGCACAATCCTCCATTCTCCTCCTGGGTTTTCGGGCACACGTACAAACATGCCTATCATGTTTTTAAAGCTGATGGGTCTGAAAAATTGCACAGTCAGCTATGTAGAATCCAGAATCTTAACTGTCATGCCACTCCCGGACCTGGGTTATTTTTAGGTTGTCAGAAAATTCATTATAGAGGGCCAGCCGGTGGCGTGGTGGTTAGGAGCACTGCACTCCCATATGGCCAACCATGGTTCGGGTCCCAGACTTGGTGGCTTGCTTTCTCACTTTCCCTCTCTCTCTCTCATTCTGTCCCTCTCTGGTCAAATTAAAATAAATAAATGGATAATAAAATAATTCAATAAAATAATTCAATAATAGTTCAATAAAATAATTCTTTTAAAAAGTCATTATGCGTTTTTGCATAGAAAAATATAGAAATGACTTTTTCAATGATCCAATTTTTTATTATTATTATTATTATTTTTTTTTTTTTGAGAGGTTTTTGCTATAGGGTGCGTGCGCTTGCCAGACAGACAGAGACAGAGAGACAAAAAGCAAGAAATCACCCCCCAGGGGGGATGGTCACGCCACAATCCCTTCTCCTCTATTCTCCTCTCGGGATCTTGGACACACACACACACACACACACACACACACACGCCCGGCGTGAGTTTTAAGCCACCAGGTCCGGGATGCAAACCGTGGTCGACTACGTGGGAGTCCAGCGACACAGCCATTATGCTAACTGCTGGTTCCCCAATGATCCAATATTTTTAATAGTATACTTAACTCGTGTTCATGCCAGAGCCCTGGGGAGGAAGCTTCTCTGTCAGATCCAGCCACTCTGCAGGACTCTGAGGAGAGCTCACATCAGGTAGACGCCATCTGTCACCATGGGCAAAGGAGACCCCAACAAGCTGAGGGGCAAAATGTCCTCGTATGGCTTCTTCGTGTAGAACTGCCAGGAAGAGCACAAAAAGAAACACCCAGACTCTTTGGTCAATTTTGCCGAATTCTCCAAGAAATGTTCAGAGAGATGGAAGACCATGTCTGCAAAGGAAAAGTCGAAGTTTAAAGATATGGCAAAAAGTGATAAAGCTTGTTATGACAGGGAGATGAAAAATTACATCCCTCCCAAAGGTGATAAGCTCTTTATCCTGGAATTTCTTTATTTTTTAAAGAATTACTTTATTAACTTTATTTATTTACTTTTAATCTGCCTGGAGAGGGACAGACCAAGAGAGAGTCAAAGAGAGAAAAAGTGAGAAAGCAAGCCGCCAGGTCTAGGACTTGAACCTTGGTCAGCCATGTGTGAGTCTAGTGCCCTTAACAATCATGCTACATCCCAGCTCCAATCCTGGAATTTATCACCTGAAGAAGCTCCTCATATTCCTCCATCAGCGTCCTCATCTGGTTGTTGTAGTGGTGAGCTATGGACCCTTCCACTGCCACAGTGCAAGCCATGGAGTATTCCTTCTCCAAAAAGGCAGTTCCTGCTCCCAGTGCAAATCCTACCACATTCCAAAAGGGCATCAGAATTGTTGGCCGGACCTTGAATGCAACCATCAATTCACTGAACCTTTCCAAATGGTCCTTTTCTTGGTCCCACATTTTCTGAATGACTGGGCAGACGATTGTCCAACTCAGGACAATCATCTGCCCTGCATAGATGTGCTTTGCTCCATCCACCTGCATGATCTACTCAGATTATTTGATCCACCGCTGCCAAATTGATATTTTTTTTTGAGAGGTTTTTTTTTTTTTAATTTTGCTATAGGGCGCGTGAGCTCACCACAGACAGAGAGATACATAGAGACAGAAAGCGAGAAATCACCCCCCAGGGGGTCACGCCGCAATCCCTTCTCCTCCATTCTCCTCTTGGGATCTTGGGCACGCACCTGTTGTGATTTCTAATCCCCCGGGTCCAGGACGTGAACCGCAGTCGACTACGTGGGAATCCAGCGACATAGCCATTACGCTAACTGCTGGTTCCCGCCCAATTGATATTGTCTAAGGTCATTCCTATACTGCAGAATCTGATGTTGATTCTTCTTCCATAAGCTGAGAGAGGCAGCCAGGGACCCATGTGCAGCCACCACAAGGAGAAAGCTGCCATGGTTCTTGCCTAACTCATTGCTGGGATGAGAGAGAAGTTCAGGATTTGTTTTATATTTTTTAAATTTTAAAAATATAATTCTTTTTTTAAGAATTATTTTATTTAACTTCATTGATTTATTTAAATTTGAATGGAGACAGAGAGAGGGAAAGCAAGAAAGCAAACCGCCAGGCCTGGGACGGGAACAAGTTTGCCATGTGGGAGTCTAGCACCCTTAACCACCACGCCACCTACTGGGCCCCCTGGCTTGCTTTCTAAACCACAGGTCTGAGACTTGAACTGTGCAATCAGCCATGTGGGATCCAGCTGCCTTAACCTCTACACCCACCTGCTGGTCCTAGATTTATTTATTAATTTAAAATTTTGCCAAAGTATACGAGTGCTCACTGGAGAGAGACAGAGAGAAAATGAGAAAGCACACCCCCCTCCCAATGGGGAATGGTCAGGCTGTAATCTCTTTTCCATTTCAGGACTTTGGGCATACACACATGTACGTGGGGCCAGAACTTGAATTGTGCAGTGGGCGATGTAGGACCCAGCCGCCTTAACCTCCATGTCACAAGCCTGCCCCAATAAAAGACAGATTAACAAGAGAAAATCAGAGTTGGTATACAACTCAGTGTATACATGGAAGAGACCCAGAGATATGAGTAAATATTTTTAAAATTATTTATTTATTTAATTCCATTTGTTATTACTATTTTTTATTTAACCAGAGAGACAGAAAGAGAGAGAGATCTGTGACTTGAACCATGGTCAGCCATGTGGGAGTCCAATACCTTAACCACCAAACCACCTGCTGGCCCCAAGATATTAGTAAATCTTTAAGGCTAAGAATTCAAACTAAATTACCATCATTCTGGGACCAGCAGTTAGCATAATGGCTATGTCGCTGGACTCCCACGTAGTTGACCACGGTTCGAGTCCCGGACCTGGTGGCTTAAACTCACATCGGGCACGTGTGTGTGCGTGCCCAAAGATCCCCGAGAGGAGAATGGAGGAGAAGGGATTGCGGTGTGGCCATCCCCCCGGGGGGGTGATTTCTCACTTTCTGCCTCTCTGATTTAAGCTGGTGCCTTTTCCACTGATAAGAGTTTCTTATGGTTTAGTCATCCTTCTCCTCTCTATGATACGGAGAAAAAAAGGAAGACATCATTACAAATGGATATTTTCGTTTTCTTTCTTTCTTTTTCTTTTTTTGCCAGAGAGTGTATCTACTCATAAGATAGAGGGCGAGAGAGAAAGCACCCCTCAATGAGCCGTGGACTCATCACAATCCCTTGTCCTCCATCTCTTCACCCTGCCAGGGCTTTTTTGGGCATGCATGCACACATGCCTGGCGTGCTTTTCAAACCTCTACGGCCAGGATTTGAACCACAGAAGGCCATGTGGAATCCAGCTCCCTTAACCACTAGGCTATGGAGCAGACTCACAGATTTTTTTCTTTATAATGTAAATTTCCCTCACAAAATGGTAACTTCTATTCTGTTTTAAGAGCTTTCCTGTGTCGGCTGTTTCTCAAAATAATCAGCTCAAAATAATTCTTATGCAAAATAGGCATATTTTGGGGTGGCATATTCTGGTCTCCTACAGTCATATTTTAGGGTGGCATATTTCTGGTCTCTTACAATAAGGATAGTTAGGACACTTACTATACCACTCAGTAATATCAGTACTACTGACCTGATATAAGTATCTGAAATCCCCACCATTAACTACTGTTTTTTTAAGAATTACTTTATTGGAGCCAGCAGGTGGCATGGTTCTGGACTCCCATATGGCCAACTGGGGTTCGAGTCCTGGACCTGGCAGCTCACTTTCTCTCTCTGGTCAAATTAAAAGATAAATAAAAATAATAAATAAAATTAAATAAATAAAAAAAGAATTACATTATTATTATTATTTAATTTGACCAGAGAGAGATAGCAAGAGGAAAAATGAAAAAACAAACTGCTAGGTCTGAGACTTGAACCATGGTAGGCCATGTGAGAATTTAGTGCCTTTAACCACCACACCACCTGCCAGCCCCATTATCTACTCTTATGGATGAAAATGTTATTTCCAGAAGGCACATGTACAATTTAGAAGGAAAGAAATATTTATCCAGTAGACTATGCCACTCACGCAAAAGCTACTTGGACTGGTAATGACCTAGAGGCAGAGGATGGGTTGCTATGATTTATTTTTCCAGATATTTTTGTCATAGTGCACATGCGCTCACTGAAGAGAGAGAGAAAAAGTGAGAAATCCCCCCCCCAAAACACACACACACAAAGGAGATGGCCATGCTGCAATCCTCTCTCCTCCATTCTTCTCTCAGGATTTTAGATACACACGCATCGAGCATATTTCTCAAGCTAACAGGTCCAGGACTTGACCCGTAGAATCGGCCATGTGGGAGCCAACACCTTCACCACTGCACCACCTGCTGGCCCTGCTATCACATTTTATTGCCCATCTTCCGTTATTTAGAAAGAAAATGTTGTCCTTTTAAATTCTCTAAACCCATGAGAATTAGGAGTTTCAGAAGTGAAGTGAATTTTTCCCCTACTATCTTTTTTTTTTTTTTTTTCAGTTTTTGAAAGATTTTTGCCATAGGACTCATGTGTTTGCCAGAGAAACAGAACACAAGAAATCACCTCCCGGGGGGATGGGCACATCGCAATCCCTTCTCTATTCTCTTCTCGGGATCTTGGGCACGCACGCACATGAGCTCAGCGTGAGTTTTAAGACGCTGGGTCCCGGCCTCGAACTGCAGTCAACTATGTGGGAGTCTAGCAAGGTAAGTATGCCATCTGCTGGTCTCTCTCCTACTATCTTAAGGCTCTCACTTGAATGGTCTTGAACTTTGAGTCTAGGTCT